GATTATAAACTGTTTATCAGTGATTTCCTTCACCAGAACCTCCTTTACCCATCTTCTGGCAAATTTCTCATAGCACTTAATACTTTTGTAGCTCATTAGCTGTTCTTTAGTGTACAGTACATAGTTTGCAAAAATAGCATATGCATGCCGAATTGGTTGGAGATCGATGTCATCAAGACGCTCATTTTTTTTTTATAATTTTCATTGGATCATATGATATCAAATGTTCCAACTTTTCCTTTTTTCTTCAGGCTCATATAATACAGTATTTGGCTAACAAGTTGTATTTAGTACTTCCAATTCCCATTCTTCTTTTAGTGAAAGACTTTACAATCATCCTCACTCACCAATTATTCATAACAACACAGTTGTTCCCCAAGATGGTACAATAGATAGCAATGGTTTTTATGGCGTCTCTGACGTCAGTACAACGAGTGTATACAGTACCTTGGGGTGCACTCAAGGTATATATGGTGTACAGTACCGTACTGTTCATGATAATAAATGGCTCTGGTTAACTTTTTTTTTTACTTATTACTGTTTATTTGTTTTGTGTTGAAATCACATTTTGTTTTTATACCATTTTATATTTTTTGAGTCATATTCATCAGTACTGTACTGTTAGACTGTATAACATTGTTATATGTTATAAACTGTACTTGAATTTTGTGGTCTGTTTCTAGACTAATGATGATAAATATTTTTTCTGATTTGTCATCAAAATATTTGTATCCATTCAAGAGTTATTTTCTAAGATAGGAAAGGTTTACATGTAGGGCACTTGGATTTTTACCCATTTAGAATTCAGTAACATACTGTGCCATTGTCTGTGTGTTTTCAGTGGGTGTATTAGTCTCCAATGACTTAAAATCGTAGATACAGTTGTATTGTGCAGTACAGTGTATTTTAATGTGTACGTACTTACTTGCACATCTGTCCCATCCAAGTTTGATAGTCATATGCTTTAATACAAAAAGTATAAGAATACTGTATCAAAATTTTATTACCTGTGGAGTCTCACAAGTGGCTGTTGAGGGACAAGTCATTATATTGTGCACTTATGCAGAGCCTGCCAGTGTCCAGCAAATGTTTAATTCTCCATGGCTGGTACATTTTCCACTCAGATACTGTAGTGTTTTGCTGAAGACAGAATGCATGCAGCTACTTATGTTTACTTTAATAAACTTAAGGTAGACCCTGATTTATGAAGCTTAGATTAACATTTTGTTGTTGTTGTTGTTTTTTGTCCCATGCTTTGGTTTATGAATGAAAACCCCCGAAGTTATGATTTTTTCATTGTTTTTGTATTTTTTTGTGCACGGACACCGGCATCTGAGGGCATCAAGTGCTGGTCCTGGTCAATTTACAGTACAGTGCTTGTTTATCATCATTAATTCTTACTGTAAGCAAAATGACAGTAAACAAAACCCAGATTCCCACAGCCCAGTGTTATAAGAGTGTTACAGGCATTTACTGTACAGTGGTCCCTCGGTTAACGAACGCCTTGGTTAATGAAATTTCGGTTAACGAATTACCTTCCATAAGAATCTTCATTTCGGTTAACGAACAAAAGTTCGGTTAACGAAATTCTTACGAAAATGTTTCGACATGCTTTGGCTTGCTCACCAGCTGGAAGATTAGTCCGCCAATACAGAAATCGGTTCTAGGGCTTACATTCGTTAAAATTGGAGTAAATATCAAGAAGGTTGTACTATTCAATAATTTTCCACGTTTTATATTAAAATTTTTAGTCATTTTAACACTTATTTAACATAATTGCAGTACAGGGAACTAGTTTTTGGTGCGCCCATCAGCCACTTTACTCACCCACCAAGGCCTCAGTTTGTATCTCTGTTCAGTGGAGGAAACATCTTGCTTGTGGGTCTCTTGAACACAGAGTATTTATACATTTTTACAGTACTGTACAATTATTGGTCATTCTGAAATTTATTTAACATATTGACAATGTATAGTGCAGTGCAGTGTTGATTTAAAGAAAATAATCTTGAATTACACCAAGTGAACTTAAAATTTTATGGGTGAAATGACAGCATCAAGCATGGGGTGATTTCTCTTCCACCCCCGCTTCCTTCTCTTCTCCCTTCTCCTCCACCCCCACTTCTAATTCCCATCATCATCATCATCAACAACCAGGAGCCTTCTACATACACACCTCAAAGTAAGTGTACTTTACTGCATTTTTTTTTACTTTGTATATAATTTTCTGTGAGCTGGAACCAATTACCCAAAATCCCATTGAAACAATGGTTTTGGTTAACGAAATTTTCGGTTAACGAACGACCTTCTGGAACGAATTGTGTTCGTTAACCGAGGGACCACTGAAATATTTTTACACAAGCTTAGAGCAACTCATGTTATTTAATAGTAAATCTATACACAAAAACTTTGCTGAAGCCTCAAACACATTCGATAGGTCACTTTTGCAACATACAGTAATTTAAAATGCAGTATGGAAGGCATTCATATTTTTGGGCAACCTCCAATATTTCACTAAGTTATAAAGACACTCAAAGCTTGAAACAACAATAAGAGTGGTTAACTAAGCTTAGAATAAAATAGTGTTTTAGTTATCATGGCTCACAGGATTGTTTCATATTTCGAATGTTGGAACTCTGATGGGTTTAGCATCCCAGAGTTTGATGTGAAGTCAGATAACGAAATATGCTAGAAACATTACTACAGTACTGTTGTATGGTCTAATTGTGGGTGGTAGTGGTGGGTGAAACTGGTTGTGGGATATTGTGGATGGATCTACGCTCTGGGTGGTATTGTGTTGAGCTAGAAGTGGGCAGCGGTGGGTGGAACCATGAGTGGGTGACACGGGATGGAATCAGAATTGGGTGGCGGATGGGTGAGTTGCCGTACTGAACTGAAAGCTTGGTGAATGGGTGGAGCACTTGGTGGCCCAAACCTTAAAGTGGGCGTGTCACTTGTGTTATGGGCGAGGCTCCTGCTCAGTGGGTGTGATCTGAGAGAGAGATAGACAGACAAGAATATGTGGAGAGGCATAGAAAAGGGTGGAGGTAATGTTTTTGTGTGTGCTGTTTAAGGCTGCTAATATACCCAGGAGAGAACCTGGTATCAGTTACCTCTTGTATAGAACGCTTCCCTGTTCACCCCGGCTCTTGATAATTCCCAGGGCACCTGATAATATTGCTTTGCTTTCACAGGAAACTTAGACTGGATATACTTGTCCTTGTGTTGGGGGGGGGGGGTGTTGCATACAGATCTTCCTCTTGGGGTTGTGGTTATGTTCAGAATTTCTTCAGTCCTGAGCAAGAGGGTGATGCATTCATCATTGGCTCTAGGACTTTGGGTGTGACATGTTCATATTTTTATCCTGGTCTATGAGGTGACTTGTTCATACCATGCCCGCATACTTGTGTGGATTCTGTGTTAAACACACACACACACACACACACATACATACATATATATATACACACACACACACACTTCAGTCCTCCTCACCTCATATCCTCTCTTCATTTGAACTCCTCCATTTTTCTTGCCTCCCTCTCTGCCTCTCTTTTCCTTTCCTACTCCTACTTTTCCACACGTCACTCCTTCTCACACCACTGCCACCTCATCCCCTCCTCCACCTCGCGCCACCACGTCACGCGCTCATTTCTCCCGTGAATTAAACTTTCTGTCTTCTCTTTTTTTGCAGGTAAGTGTGGAGGCTCGGGTGGTGTTAGGGCCATGACTCGGTTAAGTGTGTGGTGTGCTCCCTTACCTCCTGCCTCACCTCACTACCGCAGGTGCACGTGAGCACTACAGGTGAGGGGTGCACGTGAACACTGCAGGTGAGTACTACAGGTGAAGGTGAACTGTACAGATGGATACTTTATATGAGAGTAAACATTGAAAATTTAGGTGATTATGACAGGTACAGGTGAATACCATAAAGGGGCAGGTGAAGACGACAGGTAGATACAGGTAATTGTCACAGTTATCATCTGAGTTTAGAATTATTTATAAAGGAAGTTTATCTGTATATAGAAGAAAAGCAGCTGGTGTAGGATATTGGCTCTCGTACAGCAGCACCTCTAGTACAGCAGCACTATTAGTACAGCAACACCACTAGTACAGCAGCATCACTATTACAGCAGCACCACTAGTACAGCAGCACTATTAGTACAGCAACACCACTAGTACAGCAACATCACTAGTACAGCAGCACCACTAGTACAGCAGCACTATTAGTACAGCAGCACTATTAGTACAGCAGCACCATTAGTACAGCAGCACCATTAGTACAGCCGCACCGCTAGTACAACAGCACCACTAATACAACAGCACCACTAGTACAGCAGCACTATTAGTACAGCAACACCATTAGTACAGCAGCACCACTAGTACAACAGCACCGCTAGTACAGCAGCATCACTAGTACAGCAGGAGGGGGGGGGGGGTTCTAGGATGGTGTAGACTGTAGACCGTAAACCTAAGTGGAACAGGTCGATTTGCGGCGGTAATTACCACGTCATAGTAATTATTGCCGCCTATTGTTGCCCCGGCGGGGAGGGTGCCACCCCTGGCCTCTGGGTCACGAGAGCCAGAGTGCCGGCCCGTGCTACACTGATGGTCTCTTTCTCTACTTGTTCCTTGGTGAAAGTAATGCTGCTCAAACGTTCTAGTTGTGATATCGATGAGTTTATTTGAAGGCAGGTGCACGAGAAGGTCATTCTCAGGTGTGTTACAGCCTCAAGGTTCTCACCAATTGAAGTTGTCGTGTTTGACGCAGGTGAGATGGTGACCGGTGCCCCAGGCCTGCTGCAGTTGTGGGCGTGTCTTTGTGCAAATTGTGGGCGGGGCTATGCGAGACGGGCTCCGGCCGAGTAACAGTAGCAGCTGCAACAGCAGCAGGAATATCCCCTCGCAGGTGGAGGCTCCGCCCCCGCTTAGCTCCCCCTCTTCTCTCACCCAGACGGGCGAGCGGGCGCCAGGACAACCCCCTCAACCAGTGCCTGGTCAGCGGTCGCCGAGTGCACACGTAACCCGTACGGCGCGTCTCTTGCCACTCCCACAGGCCCATCACGGCCGCCCTAGTGTAGTGTTGTGGGTGCTGTTGACGGTATGCTTACGCTCTTCCTAACGTTGGTCGCAGCTCCCAAGTGATGCACTAATGCACAAGTTTTACTTTGCTAACTTTTTGGTGCATACTCTTAAAACCACGTCCTGTGAGGACAGGTTTTGTATGTGTGTGGTGGCAGCGGCCGCGTGACTGGCCCGGGTCACGGTACAGGCACAATAATTGTGAGGCCCGGCAATGTGTGGTGCCTTGGACAGTGTGAGTTATAGGTAACGGTGGTCATAGCTTCGAAGCCGACTTGACGTTTATTGCTTTATCTTCATGACCACTACCAGAACTCCATCTACTGTCTAGTATAGATACGACAGTGATTCACATTAACAGGACAGACATGATCCCGCAGTAAACCTTCATGTTCTTCAGTCTAAGATAACCTGCACATCTTATTATGAAGTATTTTTGTTCACTGAAATATGGTTCCAAATGGTAATATTGTCTTGGCAAATAAATCTTGAATTGCAGAACGATTACAGTGCATGTGTGTGTATGTTTGTGTACCTTTAAACTAATATAAGTACCTTAGGATAGGAGGTGGAGGTATTAACCCGAATGGCGGCGTCATTATGTTATGGGTCACGCCCACCCACCCACACGTTGTCACCTTCAGTTGACTCCTCGCTTACAAACAACCTTGATGTTAAGTTTTTTAAGCGACTGTCATGACCACCTGTGGCTGTGACAGGGATCACCTACACAGGTTATCAGGAAGGGAGATAAAGACGCAGCTCTGGTGTTGATGTTCACGCAGGAGTGACAGGTCGCGGCCAGCCTCTAGTCTAGTGTGTGTGTGATCTTCACTTCTCGCTGGTGAAGATAACTGGATGCATGAGACCTGTGTTGCTCAGGCTGATGAAACACATGACCTCTCTCCGTGATAGCTGATGAAAGGTGTCTTTTGAACCACTCATTTGCGACACTTGATCAAAGTCATTTTGTTGAATGTCAGAAACTAAGAAGATTGTAAAAAGCTACTTTTCATACTTTTGCTTCATCGAGAGAACTGAAAAGATCTTGCTGGTAGTGTCAGGAGAACCTTGTAATTGAACTCCAGCTGTTAAAAATTTCTTTCAGCATAATTAACGAAGACGACGCTTATTGCTTGTGGGTAGGTAGTAGGTGGCGCGTCATCTCATACACCCTTGTTCCCCTCACTGTACTTTTCTTCTCCCTGGTTTATCGTAGAGTAGCGCGACCGTGTGTTAAGGATGGATCATACAGTTTTTAGTGAAAGTGGTTTGGAGGAGTTACTTTGTGTGTGTGTGCGCGCTTTTGTGGTGTAGTGCATGGAAGTGGATGTTAATCTAGAGATGGTGGCCAGACGTGACTCATACCAGCCTCCTCGCGTGTTATATAAAAAAAGGCCCAGTGAGTTATTTTTACGCATCTTAACGACTTGATGGTTGGGTCTCTGCTGTGTTTGGAGGGGAGGAGGGAGGGAGGGAGGGTCACTGTGTTATGCGTGGAGGGGCAGGTGGAGGGGGAGGGGAGGAGGGAGGGAGGGAGGGTCACTGTGTTATGCGTGGAGGGGCAGGTGGAGGGGCGGGGGAGGAGGGATCGTTATCTGCGGAGGGTGATCAAGCGGTTGTGTTATCATATGCCTGGGTCAGGGTGCCGTATGCACTATAACACTGTGTTACACCTTATGAGACAGTGTACCGACAGTGACACACCTTATGAGACAGTGTACCGACAGTGACACATTATATTGGTATCATGTCTGGGAGGGTAAAAGAATACTGTCACTCGTCGCTACTGACTCTGTATTATTGTCATGCGGTAATGGTCAGAACAATGGGTGAGAGGCTGTCAGGCAGACGATAAGGAAGGAAAATATTGCCAGGCGACGTTTATTGATTCTGTTATGAGACAAGAATACGAGAGAGAGAGAGAGAGAGGGGGTGGCCGAGGTGGGCTGGTAGGTGTGGCATTGTCTCGCCGTATGAGTGTGTACAAGTGGCCAGATACTACCTAGATCTTATCACGTGACGCGTGTGTAGACGGAGGAAGCACCACCACTACTACCCGGGTCGTCTTCCCTCAAGCGTGAAAAATACAAATAAACACAAAAGTTAATATGAAATGATTTCTTGCGTTACACAACTTGTGTCACGGAGTATCTCGTGGTGGGGGGGGGGACTAGAGAACCCGGTAGTTTTTTTCGTGTTTGTTTCATTTGGTAGATATAATTCAGTTGTATATAGGGTTGTGGTAATTGTTTTAAAAGCCTCACAGTTAGTTTAGGAATGGATAATGTTTTTCTATGACTTTTTGATGGTCCATTAATATTGAGACTAAGAATTGTTTCATTAGTTTGGTGAGGGCGACCATGTAGGAGGAGTGTGATGGTTACTTGTATACGAAGAAGTGCTTGTGAATCCTGACCATGAGAGGCGTAGGAGAGAGTGTGGTGATGGTGGGGGTTATGTTCTCGTGTCTCTTGACATATCCTGGGTCCCAAACCCTCGCTACCACCCTGATAAACGACCTTGTTGACAGCGTCTGTGTTTCCTGCCAACAGTGTCCTTGGTCCTGTACTGACTGTGGTCTTGTACTGATAGTGAATGGGTTAGTGACAGTGAAATTGATCTCATCTTGTAAAACAGTGACTGGTTTTGTACTGACAATGATTGGTCATGCAGTGACAATGACTATGGTTCTTGTACTGACAGTGCCTGTGGTCTTGTACTGACAGGTGACTGTGGTCTTGTACTGACAGGTGACTGTGGTCTTGTACTGACAGTGACTGTGGTCTTGTACTGACAGGTGACTGTGGTCTTGTACTGACAGTGACTGTGGTCTTGTACTGACAGGTGACTGTGGTCTTGTACTGACAGGTGAGGTGACTGTGGTCTTGTACTGACAGGTGACTGTGGTCTTGTACTGACAGTGACTGTGGTCTTGTACTGACAGGTGACTGTGGTCTTGTACTGACAGGTGACTGTGGTCTTGTACTGACAGTGCCTGTGGTCTTGTACTGACAGGTGACTGTGGTCTTGTACTGACAGTGACTGTGGTCTTGTACTGACAGGTGACTGTGGTCTTGTACTGACAGGTGACTGTGGTCTTGTACTGACAGTGACTGTGGTCTTGTACTGACAGTGACTGTGGTTTTGTACTGACAGTGACTGTGGTCGTACAGTGGCAGTAACTCTACCTTGCGGGCAGCCTTACTGGTCTTCGTCTCCACCACACACTGGAGGCCGCCGCCGCTGAAACGCTTCACCCGAGGTTGAGCTAAATTAATTTCAATTGAATTCGGCCGACATATACATGTTGAGAATATTGTGTCTGTTAACTAATATGGCTGAGCTGCTACGTGGTAGAGGTGGAGGGAAGGGGGGGCCGATTATAGGTGGAGGGAAGGAAGGGCCGATTAAAAGTGGAAGAGGAAAGGGAGGGCCAATTATTGGTGGAGGAGGGAAAGGAAGGCCAATTAGAAGTGGAGGAGGGAAGGGAGGGGCCGGCAGGAGGTGGAGGAGGAAGGGAGGGCCGATTAGAAGTGGAGGGAGGGAAGGGAGGGCCGATTAGAAGTGGAGGAGGGAAGGGAGGGCCAATTAGAAGTGGAGGGAGGGAAGGAGGGCCGATTAGAAGTGGAGGAGGAAGGAGGGGCCAATTAGAAGTGGGAGGGAAGGGAAGGGCGGAGAAGGTGGAGGACGCGGGCAGCAGCAGGAGAGAGGACATGGGCGGCAGGGCGGGGCCGAACACAGGCAGAAGGGGAGGGGGGCAGGAGGAGAGAATAATACTGGCATATGTATCATATCACACTGTGGGAACCTGGGGCATGGATCAGGCTGTGACACACACACACACACACACACACACGACGTGTGTGTGATATTGTATCGCGGGTATTGTTGGTAGTGTGTGTAGAGATATTATACCTCCATTCCCTCCACCTTGAAAGACCCTCCTGCTGTAGTCTTCCTCCACCTTGAAGACCCTCTGCTGTAGTCTTCCCTCCACCTTGAAGACCCTCCTGCTGTAGTCTTCCCTCCACCTTCAAGACCCTCCTGCTGCAGTCTTCCCTCCACCTCAAGACCCTGCAGTCTTCCTCCACCTTCAAGACCCTCCTGCTGTAGTCTTCCCTCCACCTTCAAGACCCTCCTGCTGTAGCCTTCCCTCCACCTTCAAGACTACCTCCTCCTGCTGTAGTCTTCCCTCCACCTTCAAGACCCTCCTGCTGCAGTCTTCCCTCCACCTTCAAGACCCTCCTGCTGTAGTCTTCCCTCCACCTTCAAGACACCCTCTGCTGTAGTCTTCCCTCCACCCCTTCAAGACCCTCCTGCTGTAGTCTTCCCTCCACCTTCAAAGACCCTCCTGCTGCAGTCTTCCCTCCTGCTGCAGTCTCCCTCCACCTTCAAGACCCTCCTGCTGCAGTCTTCCCTCCACCTTCAAGACCCTCCTGCTGTAGTCTTCCCTCCACCTTCAAGACTACCCTCCTGCTGTAATCTTCCCTCCACCTTCAAGACCCTCCTGCTGCAGTCTTCCCTCCACCTTCAAGACCCTCCTGCTGCAGTCTTCCCTCCACCTTCAAGACCCTCCTGCTGCAGTCTTCCCTCCACCTTCAAGACCCTCCTGCTGTAGTCTTCCCTCCACCTCAAGTACCCTCCTGCTGTAGTCTTCCCTCCACCTTCAAGACTCTCCTGCTGTAGTCTTCCCTCACCTTCAAGACTACCCTCCTGCTGTAGTCTTCCACCTTCAAGACTCTCCTGCTGTAGTCTTCCCTCCACCTTCAAGACTACCCTCCTGCTGTAGTCTTCCCTCCACCTTCAAGACTACCCTCCTGCTGTAGTCTTCCCTCCACCTTCAAGACCCTCCTGCTGTAGTCTTCCCTCCACCTTCAAGACTACCCTCCTGCTGTAGTCTTCCCTCCACCTTGAAGACCCTCCTGCTGTAGTCTTCCCTCCACCTTGAAGACCCTCCTGCTGTAGTCTTCCCTCCACCTTCAAGACCTCCATATTTCTCCTCCATTTTCTGCCATG